GTAAATATTTGATATTAGTATTTTTGCACAAGTGAACATAATAAATGCTACAAGGTGATTGGTCAAATTTGACGTATTAATCTGTTATATTATAACAAAATCGAAATTTTCAAAATGGCGGCTAGCTGTTTTGTTGAAGTTAGTAATAAAGAAATAAGCGAAATTAAAATGAATTCAGACCAGAAAAATACAAAAACTTGTGCAAAAATACTAAAACAATTATTTGCCTCAGGCTCTGTGATTATCTGGGAATATTCACCTCGGCAAATATTCCCCGATAATCACTTCGGCGAATAATTGTTAAATATAATTTTACCATTCCTTTTTCAAATAAATAAATGTTTTCAAACTCAATTTGCTGTGTTTGTTTACTGCAGTCATCAAATCCCTACTTTATCTTATAGTCCACCTTGTGCATGTGTTCTTAACACTGTTTTAACTGTTGTATATTTAGCACAGACGGATCACTGATCTAAAGATGGATCCAGTATGTTGTGGTAGGGAGGTACATGAGTTGTGTCAGTCATGTGCGCCACCCACCCGTCAACTTACTTGACTACAGCAAAGTCTTGCTTGACTACAGTATTGTAATTGTTGTTAACAAACAGTTTACTTATCATGTTATTACTCAAATTTTGTCTCCAATATTTTTTGCTTTATCATGAAAATACCCCCCCCCCCCCTGCATACCCTCTGGCCAGGGCTAGGTGGGGGGTGCAAACACCCCAGTAAATCCACCCCTGATATTTGGTGGTCATATAAATGCAGTGGTCATACATAATTGATGTTAATAAAATGCTTTATTCAAAGTTACAATATATAACGGTAAATACTTAAGATTCATTTCAACATTTTCATGTCACCAATACACCAATATTTATATGTAAAATGTCTACTAAAATATGTATCTATTAAAAGGCTGGTATGGGCAAATTTATATAACAGGTTGCTCTTATTATTCTGGTTCAATAGTTTCATTGCTTGAATCAGTTGAATGGTCATGAGCACAACTTGACTGGATTAGATGTTATACCATTTGCCAAAGCGGGATGTAGGAACAGTTTGCTCAATAACAGTTCTAAATCAGCATTAAATTCATAAGTTCAACTTTTCCCATACTTAGGATCAACAATATAAACAACATTGCCATCATCAGATTCCATTTTCACAAAATATATTCGAATTCTATAAAAATAATGGTAAAATAACAGTGTATTTAACTTAAATGCAGCAGTTAAACTCAACAACGATCGACATATATGCACATTCTTCGAAATAAAACAAAAATAATAACGACTCGTACAGTATAAATTTTCCTCGAGCCATAATTCCCATGCGGTGATTATTCCCGCGATGGGCGACATAGTATACCGAAAATGCCCCATTTTCAAACCGCGATTACTCGTCAGTTTGATGGGGACAATTCATTTTTTAAACTTCTCATAGAAAGAACAACTCTTCCTGAATACGATGCCGTGTCTTTTATTTAATTTACTCATTTATAAACCCAATTGTCCCCAGCGGTTTTGAAAGCCACTTTTGACACTTGTGCATTGACCCGGAAAACAGGTCAATACAAATTGCGATTAACATATAACTAAACGTTGTTAAAACACCAAATAAAGCAAAAATCGTTAATTTGACTCATATTTAAAACAATTATAAAAACTTACCTTCAAAAATACGAACTTTTCGTGGCGAAATATCGAAATAAATATCCACCACTTTTCCAACTAACATTGTGAAAAATCATGATTGTGAATATTAATGAGTTGCAATGCATGCTGGGAAGAGCTTCCACCCTCCTCTGGGGTGGGACTACCCTGGATTCCAGAGCCTTCGACAGTAAACAATTTCAATTTATTGTTTACTGTCGAAGGCTCTGGAATCCAGGGTAGGGTGGGACAGCATCAAGCGACAAACTATCGTCGGATTTGATATGCTGTCCCACCCTGGTTAAGGCGTTATTGTCAGTATGTATTGATTACGTCACGTCCACGATCGTGCCCGAGCAGCCCTAAGTATTTTGAACAGTATCCGAAATTGAGGAGATTTTGGTTCCGTTCGTCGCTAAATTTGCCCAAGCTACGATCAAACCATATTATTTAGAAAGAGAAATCTTTGTGAAAAGATTTAATCGAATTTGTTTTGGCGTACGAGAAGTTTGAGCGGAGATATTTGACTTTGAAGGCGATGCGGTCGTGGCGCCAGTGATTAGCCTTTTACTGTTATATTATATATAGATGAGCGCACACAATGTAGGCCACAGAAAATGTTACATCAACCGCTCTAAATGAGCTCATGGATTAATTAAAAGAATGCAAAGGTATTATACTATCATGTCAACTATATTTTATTGTTAAAATGTATTTATTTGACCAATTTGAGAATGTTTTTAGAATAGTTTTGGTTGACTATTTAAAATTTGTTTATAAAAACCGTTAAAAACCCGCAACACCTGATCATTCATTCTGAGATTGGGCCACCTGTGGTTTAACCAAATCAATATAGAAACAAGAAATACATGTCAAGAAGCGGACAAATTGACGCCCAATTGAAGTATCAAACGAAAAATGCAGCGACAAACCGCGATAATGCTTTGATATTAAAATGCATGGATAATTAATTCTTGCAATAATGCGTGGATAATTAATTCATTTTATTTCGAATATCGAAGTCCGATCCGATCCGACTACAAAACAACTTTATCAATCCGATCCGATATGTATATTTTTGTTCCGAAATCCGAACGAATCCGATCGGATTCGGATCGGCACACCTCTAATAAGTAACTTCAGGCTTACATACCTAGCGGCTGGCTCGCCTCGCTACACATACTTTTTGGAGTTAGGCAGTTAGCCCGTAACTCAAGATTTAGATACCTGGCTTCCTCATGATGTTCGGAGTTATACTTATGCACTTGTCAATTGTAACCACCCCCCCCCCTCCCCCTCACCAACCTCGTGGAAAGGTGGGGACATGTGGGCCGTTTTCCCTTTTTTGACATTTAGTTACACCTGACCAGGTGGGGGATTTTCCCCTTATGAATCCCCGACCCTGGTATGTGGGGCATCATGTGGGAATGTATACAGCCCGCTCGCAGGCTAGGATTGTCCTGTTGAGCGGAGCCTGGTCAGATAATTTTTTGTTTGTATAAAAAAGTGCTACATTCTGTTTGTTTCACTTTTTGTGACAAAATAGTTTATTACATGTTCAGTTCTGAATTTATTTTCTCACAGAATAGCAATATTACTGTATTTGCAATAAATTGCATTTTTCAATCCTGAATGCACATACTATTTAACTTGCAGACGCATTTAGATTTAATGTCCTGCGCGTGTACATCACTGATATTACTTTTATCTTGCCCCTGATGGGTTGGGGGGATTAGACAAGATTAGTCAGGTCAACCTGTCTCACAGGCTCGGGCAATAGTTAAGTATGGATATATTTAAAATGTATCATCTTTGTCCCCACATAACCACATTTCCCCAGGGTTGGGAGGTTGGGGGGTTACAATTGACAAGTGCATTAGCTACAAATGATTTTTGTAGGTAACCAGTAACTCCAGGCGTAGATACCTTAGCTTTTTCATGCTTTTTGGAGTTATACTTCAAGTATAACTCCAAAAATCAAGAAAAAGCTAGGTACCTAAGCCTGGAGTTACTGGCTTACTTCAAAAATCATTTGGAGCTAACAGCGCCAACTGATTTTTGGAGTAAGCCAGTAACTCCAGGCTTAGATACCTGCTCCTAAATGATTTTTGGAGTTATACTTAGCTCCAAATGATTTTTGGAGTTAGCCAGCAAGTCCACAATTCATATTTCAACTCAGTTTTAAATTACACAAGTTATACTCAATAAGTGTATATTTTGGTTTGGACAGTGGCAGAAATCTCAGTGGGGCAGGGGGCAACCGCTCCCTCACCTTTACAGAAAATTGTCAAATGTTCAGAAATTTTGACCTAAAAGAGGGCTAAAAACAACGTTTTCAAATGCAAATAGGGGGGTTTGTCAGAAATTTGAAGGTTTGTCAGAAATTTGGGAGGCTTTGCCTCCCCCCCCCCCCAACACTGGAAAAAGTGAATTTCCACCACTGGGTTTGGAGTATGTTCCCCTTTAGACTAGGTAGCGTCACTCCATTGCTTCCTACTTTCTACAGCCATGGACCGGTTAGGCTGAGATTGTAACATCAGGCCCTACCCTCTGTTCAATTTTGTTGGACTAAAATTGGCATTTCATTTGAAGTTTTGTGTTGTACAGTATTGCATTGCTGATCTCCCAGAACACACAGCAACATTGAAATGGGGACGGTTTTACATGTTATTTTCACAATTAATTGTGTACAAAAATAACCTTCCAATCTAAGAGTCCCACCTTTCAATGCCACTGATTGCACTGCAGTTCACATCATACAAAGAGGAAAATTCTAGTTCCAAGTTCTATATCTATGTGTGCATAGACATAGTTACATAGATATAGTCTATATAATTAGTTACATTCTATGGAGGTGAAGAGTCATTAGGGTATAGTAGGGGTTGATTGGGGCTTGGCGGGGGTTGGTTGGGGTGTGGGGGTTGATTGGGGTATGGTGGTGGTAGTTCATTGGGGTATGGTGGGGGTTGGTTGGGGTGTGGGGGTTGATTGGGCTATGGTGGTGGGGATTGGGAATACATTTGTAGTTCTTGTTCTTGTTCTTGTTGCTGGTTTGCAAGGAGTGTAGTTCCTGAGGTTGCAGACTGTGTTTGTCCATCATGAGCAGGATGTCTTGAGGCTGTCGCTTTGATCTTACGACAATAACAAAACACTAACAGAAAGACGACAATGATCAAAGGAGTAACTATGCCGACTACAAGATGCCAAACACGTCCACTGACTCCACTTTCTGTGTTGCAATCTCCTATTTTACATTTCCTATCATGATCACAACATTGGCCAGTAGAACAATTGTTATCCGAGTTACAGGATTGACCAGTACAATTTTTGAGACATTTTTTGTCATTAGAACCACAACAAAATAGACCCAGTGCACAATGTTGACCCCGCTCACACGATTCTCCAAGACAAGAAGTAGCACAAGTAGCAGTACCTTGCCAGAGACCACAACAAGATTCACCTGATGCGCAGTCACTGTTCATTTGACATGATTGCCCAATACAAGATCTCGCACATTTGCCACTTGGACCACGACCACAACAAGATTCATGAAATGCACAGTCATCATGCGAGAAACAAATTTCTCCAAGACAATTGAAGGCACATGTTTCAGTAGAACGACAACAATATTCATCTGTTCCGCATTGCTGATCATCTTTACATGATTTTCCAATACAAGATCTAGCACATTTGCCAGTAAGACTTCGACCACGATCACAACAATGCCCATCCGGACTACAGTTGCCATCATAGGAACACATTTCTCCACTACAATTTAAGGCACATGTTTTATTAATTGAACCACAACAATATTCCCCAGCTGGTCCGCATGTGAAATAATGATCTTTGCACGATTTCCCAATACACGATCTAGCACATTTGCCAAATATATCACCTTCACCACGATCACAACAATATTCATCTGATGCGCAGCCGCTGTTATGAGAGGTACAAAATTCTCCAATGCAATTTGAGCCACATGTTTTATTTTTTAAATTTGAACCACAACAATATTCACCTGATCCACAGCTGTCATCGGTTTGACACGATTTTCCAACACAAGATCTAGCACAAATACCTTGACCTCGACTGAGATCACAACAGACTTCAAATGATCCGCAGCCGTAATAATCTTTACACGACATTCCAATACAAGATCTAACACATTTGCCAATAGGACTTTGACCAAGATCACAACAATATTTACCCGATGAGCAGTCACTACGAGAGGAACAAGAGGGACAATTTAAGGTACTTAAGGTACATGTTCCATTACAGCAATATTCCCCTGGTGCACATTGGCTAAATGAGGTACAAGGTTCACCAATGCAATTGGACCGACAAACATTGTTTTTTATACAACAATGCGGTTCAACTGGGTCAACACAGATATTTCCATACAAACACCCAGTCATCCCATTCGCTACTTGTGAAAACAGAGCAAGAAATAACACACAAAAACATGTAGTGGTCTTTATACACGCCATTCTTTGCAGTTCGAACTATGGTTTCGAAGCTTGTGAGGAAATATTTTATACGGAACAGAAACTAACTTGTTGTGACCAAAAGTCCTGTTATTATTTATTGAAACTAATTCAAGAGTTTTGATTGGCTAAGAGCTGTCGGTGAATCGTCTATCCGCTGCGCAGCTGCCCAAATTTGGAGTTATGACATCAACGTGAAAACAAATACACGACGCCCAATTGACGTATTTCGCGGTATTATATTTATATTTATATTGTTGTTCAAGCAGCAATAACAATCTTCTTGAACTACAAGATCTTCTCTACAACATTTGAGTTCTGTTAATTTAACCAGCATTTGACTGTTTCGTTTAGCCTAGTGACTTATTTCAATACATCAAAATTAAAATTACCACGCCTTCCAACATGTAGGAAAAGTGCAATTTGAATATCAAACACCTTGCACAAAGTCGAAAGTCAGCTAAATACTCTACTTCTACTTTCTTGGCATGGGCAGTTTTTGCAATGCTTATAATTTCGTAGTTTAATTTTGTATGTATAATTATAATACTTATTGTCTGTGGCGCAGCTAGCCATAGCAACAGGCAAGCTAGCCAATAGCAAATTTTTAATTAATTATTTGCATTATTCAAAATTTCAAATGATGTAGGTTTATTAGCATAGCATGACCAGTTACCATGGCTAGCTTGCCACTGATACTGTATAATATCTGCCTCGTACCCAGGCACTCCCCTTCGCCATCTCTCCCCACTACAATACTTCATGTAAACTCGTCATATGCGCATCACTGTTTTTTTACAAAGAGACGCCTGGGTACGAGGCAAGTATAATATCACATATAGAAACACAAAGTCAATTTTTGTCCAATTATCATTCAAACGGCACCTTCAAGGCTACCCGTATCTCAGAACAATCGAACCGTCTACTGTCAATGGGGAGACAAAATCTATTTGTTGATATTTTTGTTTAATTTGAATACGTCAGCTTCAGATGACACCATTCATTGTACTCAGTCAGAGATTGTACTCAGTCAGAACTGCAAAACTATATAATTATTATATAAATGAGTACTTGAGTAGGCCCGTAGGATTATTTTAATATAGTATGTTAACAATGTCAATGGACATATCTCGGAGATATAAACTGACATGCATGTGTACAGGCCATCAGGCATCATACCTTGTACAAAAGTCGGTTGACATGCATGCTATCATAGGCGTACGGGCACAATTCTATTTGGGGCAAACAAAATTTGCCCGAATTTTTAAGCTGATGACAAAACATGCCCGAATTTTGATCAGACTTTTTATTTGATTTTACAAATGAATTATCTAAATTTTAACAAGCGCATTGAACATTTAAATTGGACGTTTACAAATGAGTTTACTAATTTTGAAACCTGGCTAAAAGGTTTCACTTACAAGAAATAGCTATCTCGTCCATTTCGTCTACCAAAAGTGTCAATTATTTTAACCATGTCGTTCTTAATAGTTCGGTTAGCATATGCTCGTTCAATGTTAATGACAGCGATAGAATTCAAGCGTTCTTCGCCCATTGTCGAGCGGAGGTAGGTTTTCACGCGCCGCAATCCACTGAATGACCTTTCAGCAGTACAGAACGTAGCGGGAATCGACGCAAGAATGGTTGCTGCCTCGTATAATACAGGTAATAAGTCGCATAGTCCATCCTGAAACATTTTGTCGACAACGTTTGCCGCAGTTTTCGCACGAGGATTGGACTCGTCCATGATGGAATTTTGATACATTCTCTTCTCCACTTCAAGAAGATCCCTATCGACTTGTAAAACTCTGCCACAGCATCAAAGCTGTTTTCTAAAGGTGAGTCGTTTAGCACAACGTCTCCCAAAGCACACAAAATTTCTTGATCGTTGTTGTGAAATCGCGATTTCATTTCGCTAAGCACTTTGTCGAGAGATAGGTAGAATGTATTGATGCGATGATGGGCTTTCGGCGTTGTCACACACGCGGTATTGGTGGATTCACCGATAAGTGCTTGCAGGCGACGGGATGGTTTGTTCCGGGGTGCCCTTGCCTCTTTGAATACGAAACGAGATCCCTTGATGTCCTTTTTCATTTCATTGGACATGATCTGCATGTGCTCTTTCCCACAAGAGTTCAAAATTCTTTTCGTTGCGACATTTACGGAGCGTGTTGATCGTGAGATCAGCATTTCTTTTTGCAGTGATAACGTCGACGCCTTTCCCTTGTAGATGGTTACTTTGACTGCTTGTATTTGATAATATCACCTTCAGAAGAATCGAGCCAAATACGGATTCAAAATCACAAATGGCATTCAAAATGGCAACGCTGTCCGTGTACGTCTTAGTATCCTTATCCTTTGTTAAAATGAGAAGAGCTTTGATAATTTTCGGCATTTGCTCCCTGACTGCTTTTACTGCTTCCCATCTGCAGGACCATCTCGTTTCACTCAAAGATTTTAGCGTGAGAACAAGGTGATCACCATCTATCTTAACAGAATTAATTAAACACGGCATGACGTTTTGGACTTGCCTCCAAGAAATTATACAGACTTTGTAATGTCCCTAGTGCATTTCGGAGTGGCTGCACATCACTCATAGTGTCTTGCAGTGCCAAGTTAAGGATATGCGCGTAACAATGTATATATACTCCTCGCGGTGAGCATTCTTTCATTCGTGCCGCTACGCCTTTCCGAACGCCACTCATATTGGATGCACCATCGAAGCACTCGGCAACAATATCCTCTAACTTCAAGCCACGTTCAGTGATGATCCTCTTTACAAGTTCAAATAAAACTTCGCCTTCTGTTGATGCTGTCGAAAAAAATCCGATGAAAGTCTCTAATGTTTTGCCAGTCAAAACATACCTTAGGCAGATTGATACCTGCTCTATGCGGCTGATATCTGAAGTTTCATCCATGATTAGAGCAAAGTTACGGCTTAATAGTACATCCTGATTGATTCGCTCGACAAGAAATCTAGATGTAATTTCTAATATCTCATTCTGAATAGATGGCGATGTCCACTGAGCGTGAAGCTTATGTTGACTTTGTAGCTTTTCGTCGAGCCACGGGATGTCATCGCATCTGAGGTGTAATAATTCCAATAGGTTTCCTCTATTTATGTCGGACATTTTGCCGATATCATTTCTGTTTTCCTCGTGTCCTCGTAAAGCCACGTTTTGCTGTGCATTATAGAATATGCTGGTAATGATTATACGCAAATACTCGCGGGTGCGTAGAACATCTTTTTGATGAGCGTCTGTTAATTGTTTCATTACAGATGTTTTGTGCTTTGCACTGATCCTTGAGTTGATCCACTTGGCCATTGCGTTTTTGTGAACACCACTCTTTGTGTGCTTTTTGAGCCTGTCACTTCTTTTCCAGTTATCGAAAGTGAACGTATTATCTCTCATGAATTCTCTACACGCAAAGCATACACACTGACGGCGTTCAATATCAAAACTAATCCAAGGATACGTTTTGTACCATTGTGGATTAAAATCTCTACTTGTTTTTTCATTCCCGAACTTCTTTTGATTGCATTCCTTCAGTATAGGTTGTTTTGGTGCACAGCATGGAGTTGGGGAGGTGATTGAAGACTGAATTTGATGGAAATCTTCTCTTGAGCCTTGCAAGTTGAAGGAAGAGTTAGACGAGTTGCTTGACGACTGGTTGTGGCAAACGTTTTCTCTCGAGTCTTCAGCTTTGGAGAAGGTATTTGACCAGTTATCAATGATGCGGTTTTCCGTTGAATCATGCATGTTGAAAGAAGTGGTTGAAGGCTGAGTAGAAGTGTGAAATCGTCTGTTGAGTCCTGCAGGTTGAATTGAGTGTTTGAAACGTCAATGAGAGTGACGTTCTCCTTTGGATCCTGTACTTTGGAAGCAATGGCTGACGAATGACAAGGAGCGATGTCCCGCACGTAAGAGGAGGTTGACGTCATATTGGAAGTGATATGACTGATATCCTCATCTACTGGATGTGGAAAATGACAGTAAGTGTTATCTGTGCTAGATATTGGTGAACAATATGCTTTTCATATCAGGCATTGAACGCTTGGGTGGTTTTGCTCTACTAACAAAGAAGTAACTAAGTTGTGGCTGATGCGCGTCGACCACAACACTAAATTTCACTTTTTCACCCTTGTGCACTTTTTTAACATGGTCGTCTTTATAGTCCGAGTCAATTTCTTTCTTGCACGTTTCACAAATGATTCGCTGCCTATACAGGGCGTATCAAAATAAACGCAATTCATCTTTTGTGCTTAATAACTTTTGGAATACTATTTCTAGTTAAACGCTTTTAGGCTTACTTCAAAGCCTGTTCTTTTCTCTTTCAAACAAACTATTATCCTTGTCTCCAATGCTAGTAGTAATTGCACAGGAAAAGATTTAGTAAAACCTATCATTTCTAGTTGCTGTTTAATTATGCAAGTTTACTATGTTATTGTTTAGTCGGTTTAAATGTTAGAATTTTCTTCTTTAAACTTTAATGTTGTCGTCACTACATCGGGAAAACCACGTAAGAACAAAT